ACCGCCCCTAACTGCTCTACCTGTTACTCCCTGTACTGCCCCTAACTGCTCTGCCTGTTACTCCCTGTACCGCCCCTAACTGCTCTACCTGTTACTCCCTGTACTGCCCCTAACTGCTCTGCCTGTTACTCCCTATACTGCCCCTAACTGCTCTACCTGTTACTCCCTGTACTGCCCCTAACTGCCCTGCCTGTTACTCCCTGTACCGCCCCTAACTGCTCTACCTGTTACTCCCTGTACTGCCCCTAACTGCTCTGCCTGTTACTCCCTGTACCGCCCCTAACTGCTCTACCTGTTACTCCCTGTACCGCCCCTAACTGCTCTGCCTGTTACTCCCTGTACCGCCCCTAACTGCTCTACCTGTTACTCCCTGTACTGCCCCTAACTGCCCTGCCTGTTACTCCCTGTACCGCCCCTAACTGCTCTACCTGTTACTCCCTGTACTGCCCCTAACTGCTCTGCCTGTTACTCCCTGTACCGCCCCTAACTGCTCTACCTGTTACTCCCTGTACTGCCCCAAACTGCCCTGCCTGTTACTCCCTGTACCGCCCCTAACTGCCCTGCCTGTTACTCCCTGTACAGCCCCAAACTGCTCTGCCTGTTACTCCCTGTACTGCCCCAAATTGCCCTGCCTGTTACTCCCTGCACTGCCACAAACTGCCCTGCCTGTTACTCCCTGTACAGCCCCAAACTGCACTGCCTGTTACTTCCTGTACCGCCCCAAACTGCCCTGCCTGTTACTCCCTGTACCGCCCCAAACTGCACTGCCTGTTACTCCCTATACTGCCCCAAACTGCCCTGCCTGTTACTCCCTGTACCGCCCCTAACTGCTCTACCTGTTACTCCCTGTACTGCCCCAAACTGCTCTGCCTGTTACTCTCTGTACCGCCCCTAACTGCCCTGCCTGTTACTCCCTGTACTGCCCCAAACTGCTCTGCCTGTTACTCTCTGTACCGCCCCTAACTGCCCTGCCTGTTACTCCCTGTACAGCCCCAAACTGCACTGCCTGTTACTCCCTATACCGCCCCGAACTACCCTGTCTGATACTCCCTGCACCTCCCAAAACTGCCCTGCCTGTTACTACCAATACTGCCCCAAACTGCTCTGCCTGTTACTCCCTGTACTGCCCCAATCTGCCCTGCCTGTAACTCCCTGCACTGCCACAAACTGCCCTGCCTGTTACCTCCTGTACTGCCACAAACTGCCCTGTCTGTTACTCCCTATACCGCCCCGAACTGCCCTGTCTGTTACTCCCTATACTGCCCAAAACTGCCCTGCCTGTTACTACCAATACTGCCCCAATCTGCCCTGCCTGTTACTCCCTGTACCGCCCGAAACTGCCCTGCCTGTTACTCCCTGTATCACCCCAAAATGCCCTGCCTGTTACTCCCTGTACCGCTCCAAACTGCCCTGCCTGTTACTCCCTGTATCACCCCAAACGGCCCAAGCACTCAATAGTTTTATGAACTCATCAGTGAAAAAATACTATGTAATACAATGTACTAAGGGTGCTTGCTAATGGGCTAAGCAAAGAATCCTTAGTTGCAGGTATTCCTATAGTGGAAATTTCTTTGCAAGCCATATTTTGGTTTATGTTAAGCAAGCCATGTTATCAAGACCACGGGGCAAATTTGAAGGAGCCACAAAGCTGTTAAGCACAGAAATTTGTTAAGCACAGAAATTTGTTGAGCACAGAAAAACGTTTGCATTAACAACAATCACCGGTAACCCACCAAAAATGTCATATAATGATACTGCTTATGATTGGTTCTCAGTTGATTTTCACTTTAGCTAATAAATCCGCTAGGCGATATTCTGCTTCTAAGCAGCTTCAAGCAATTAGGGACAGATCTGGAGTTCAGAGGAGACATTCATGTCGCCGGCACCTGGTATCTATGTCACGCTGACAGGCAGCTGTCGTCTGCCAACAAAATTCAGTTCAACTACCGACGACGAAGGCGATATAATGCCCACGTCCCAGTTGAGTTGGTTGCGTGTTTCGCAAAAGGGTTAAATCATGTTAGTGCATCACCGGTGTCGTTTACACAGCGCTACTCGTAATAGTGGGGGCGATCAATAAGAGGCGCGGCGCATTCATGCTACGTGACAATTACAGAAAGGGGCAGACCGTTGCTTCTCGGTAAGCTAATCTCGTCAATATCGCATGACCTGTTGCGGGGGATATTCACTGTCTCTCGAGATACTTCAGAGAGCTTTCCGTCAAACAAGACGGCGATGGTTGGATGTCATTTCTCTCAAAACAACCGACAATCCATTCACGGCACGTCCCGTTCCATTTCACTGCAGGCCTTTTAATCAAAAGGTGTTGCAAAGACTTTTCTGGCTCTATAGCTTGGGTTTGCTAAAAACATCCACAGCATTCCTTAACAGACACCCTACTCATTTAATTTTGTTTGAGGAGGAAAAACAAAATTTAAAAAATGGGTCCTCAAAAATTTGTTACACACCAAGAGAAATTATAACCACTTCAGAATGTCCACCATCAATCACAATACTGCTAAATTGTTGTGCCCAAAGTGTACAATTATGCAAAAAAATTGAAAATGAATAAAGCTCCTGCACTGACTAGATTGATCTGAAATAAAATATAAGTAAAAAAAAATACAAGGCCTACAAGGATGTTTTGCTGTCGTAATTTTTTTTTTCTTTTGTGATTTGTTTTTGTGTCAGTAAATGGCAGTAATCCAATGAGCAAAGTTTTGTCACAAACATTTTCAATGAGCACATATTTGATTTCACTATTTGAACAGAAAACCCCTGAAACTGAACAGTGTCTCCCTGAAATGACATCACAGCAACAGCGCCCTCAGTTGTCCGGAAAGGCATGGACAATTTTAAACGTTTAAAAAGTGCACTTTTCAATAAAATTAACCAAACAGGGATGTCAAATAGTTTTCATACATTTAAAAGCAGTTGAAAGTTGCACAAAATGTGTTTCTAAGAAAAATTCCCTCATGAACCCTTTAAATCAAGGACCCCAAATGAGGAAACTGAAGCCTGGGTTTCAAGGTGGAGATGAAGTTAATGCTTAAGAAATGGCCAAAGTCTCGGGGAAGTCTTGCAAAAGCCGACAACATACATATGTGTCTTACATTAAATCCCATCTCACGTCATAAGCATTGATTCTCTGTAATGCATGATCTGTCCACTTGTCAATAAGCTGTCGAAGTTGTGACGACACTTATGGGTCAACTCGATGCAACCATAGTAAATACTGTTTCACACAAACTGCAGTAGACCATATATAGCGGTTGTGAACCTAAGATTTATAATTGGCTGAAACCCCCTCATGTGATTTTTAACTGGTGTGGTGACAATCTGTTGCAAGGCAGTTTACCAATTTCAGTTCCTAATTTGTGAAAAAAATGTTCAATAAAAGTATGATGTAAAAAAATGCATGCAGAATGCATTGTTCCGAAATGCGTGTCAACCACTGTCAAGAAAGTGAACCTGGCTGGGGAGGAGGTGACGTCACACTTCACTGCTCCTTCATTGGACTCTGCGTATGACCAATAGAGGGTGCTGTGTGACTACTGTTGAGAGCTCCAGCGGGGGGGACACACCACCTATGGGCAATTCCACGGTTACTCACGTTACATTTTCGTAATGTGAGTAACCGATTTTGTGCGTCTTGTTTATCATACATAACACATTTTTCTGGATGTCATCTTTGGTGCTTAGGTAGGTCTAGGTCTACTCTATCTACCATGGGGATAACAGAACTTTATTAAACCTTTTCAGTAAGGTAATTACAGCCCAAGGAAACTCAAAAATACATAAAAAATGTAACGTGGAAACCGTGGAATTGCCCCTATGCATAATGGTTTGTGCAAGTATGGTGTGAAGTACCGGTACGCACCATTAATTGTATTCTGAATGTGCACAGACCCATAGCATCTTCGCATGAACGTCGGGCGCCATCAGAAATGCGTTGGAATGTCCCTCCAAGTGGTCTCCCCCAACTCTCCCTTTGTAACCCTTGAGGGGGTACTTGTGCTCGGACTCCAACAGAACCCTTTTAATTTCAGCAGGTGAGCCAAGTGCCCCTTAAAAGCAGATTCAATCACTTCACTACACTACTGCCAAGGACCATCTAAAAAAAAAACCCGTAAATTCTCCAGAGGCTCAATTCTGACTGAAGCCATTCTAATCAAAAGCAAGACCTGACAAACCCAATTGGCCATAAATCTTGGAAATCCAGAGCTCACATTACGACGCCCTTAAACCCAGCATGTTGGCCTCTAACCTCTTTATCAGGCAGGTAGATAATTAGCCAGCGCATCTATCAATGTTTCCTTGAACTCAAAGCCAAGACCCGGATCATAGGATCCCAGACTGCAGATTTGGAAACAATGGGCTGTTTGTCCCTCCAGAGTTTTGAAGATAAAATTGTTTAGATCCAACTCCGAGCATGACATGACTCTTGATCTAAATCACATTCATGGGTCATAACATTCCCAGATAGCATATCTTGCTTGACATTTGTTTCCGTGTTGGACATTTTTCTGCCTATTCTTATCAAAGCTCATGCATCACGACATACCGCATGTGTATTTTACTTATGGTGTTTAATTTAGTTTATCTCGTTTTATATTTCTTTCACTTTAGATCTCATGCAATTTCATTCCTTTTAATTCAATCCAATTTAATTAATATTTTATTCTCATTCTTATTTCACTGCACAATCTTAGTGTATTACTTTTACACCTTGTACATCTAGTATTTGTTTTTGTTTAGGTCTTGTTTAGTAGTTTTAAATATTATTTTCGTTCTTTGTTATGTCATCTTTGTCGGTTTACTGTTTACGTGACAACCCTTGAAGCTGTGTTTTGTTCTTTGCCTTAACACTTCGATCTAGTCACCAGAAAACAAAATAGCGCCCTCGTGCAATCATGCACAGAACGTTTAAGAATTTGTGGCAATCCTTCTACATATAGATGCTACTACTTAATGGACAACAGACAGCACTTTTTCCTCACCTGAAGAAGCGAAGGTTGTCACACAATTCAGGAACTGACGTGATGTCACTCTGGAAAAGGAAGGGGAGAAAATTGGGTTTGTTGTCAAGGTAATGAACAGGAAACCAAACTGATACAATCTGCAATGAGACACTATCAACAGACCATGAGTTGTCGTTTTACTTGTAAAGAACACAGGAAACTCGTTGCGACTGGAATATGATGAGACTGGAATAAGTTACTCGTGTTATCCGAGGTTCAGGGGAAAACGTTTTGTTGTTGCATGCGAATATAGTGTCAAAGTTTTCCACTGAAATATATTACTTATGAAGTGAAACGAGCAAGTCGGTCGTTCAACAAATTCAACTGACCGCTTAACCTTTCAGCACTATAGACCTTATTCATGAGGCAGCCATTGTTGATCATGTCCCCTGAATGTATTATATAAAATTGCAAACTGTTGAATGGGATGGCGCCAGACTATTTATGCGTTCCAAGCCTCACTTTCAATTTTTTTTTAAACGTGGCTTAAAACGCATGTTTAATCATAAATTTTTAATTATTTATCAGAGCGGCCTGGTATTAATTTGTTATTAACTTCATGTCATTGCTTTCATTTCTATTCGCAAGTTCCAAAAATGAAGATATTACCAAGCTTTCAATTCAATATGGCCGACTCGTGAGCCTATACACACAGCTGACTTCCAAATCTCTCCCAGACACTTTGGGTATAAACTTGAAAGATCTGCTGTTTGATTTGGATATTTTGTTTTCAAAATAAAAGAATCTTTCTGAAGGCTGGCGCCATTTGGCAAGTTTCAAGGTGTCTGCACATTGAAACAAATTAGGCCAAAAAAAATAATAGTTCTGCTTCCGGTTTCCCTACCTTCCCTATTCTGACAGCCCCTACCCTATTTTTTTTATGGGAAAAATTGAGGGGAAAAACACCCAAAACCATCAATTTCTACCTTTTACCCTTGACTACACGCAGATGCCTCCATATGATCATACACACAAAAAATTGGCCAAAAAAAATTATTTCCCTACCTACCTACCCTATTTTCAAATCCCATGTAATCGGAAGCAGAACTATTTTTTTTTTTGGCCTTAGCTGTGAGACTTGAAGTTTTTCTAAAGGCACGTAGGAATATTGGTAATTACCCAGAAAATTACCCTACAGATGTAATGAGAAAAACTAACCTACAGATTTAATGAGAAAAACATTGCCCAAAGAAAAGACAGGACTGGTACTAAATGCCCTGTGAAACTGTTCTGCCAGAAATGGTTTGGATCGAGAAAAAAACCCAAACAATTATTCAAGCTGGTCAGGCACACTTTCTGTGTGCGTTATAGCAACGGAATCCAGTCTTAAGACCCAAAAACTGTGTATAGGTTTTCACTGTTTTCTCAAAATGTGCGTATCCACTAAAACTTCAACAGGTTAGTTGTTAAGCACCCTTCTTGAGATTTTGAGCAATTTTGTTTGCCTTGATGAACCGCACACTGCCCTAAAACTGGATTATTTGAAGTGTGTACAAGTTGTACAGGTAAAGGTATCCAGCATGTAGTCAGATATCTTCCCACGTTGATTTTGACAACCAGTGCATAAGGGGCAATTCCACGGTTACTCACGTTACATTTTTGATGTACTTTTGAGTTTCCTTGGGCTGTAATTACCTTACTGAAAAGGTTTAATAACTGTTATCCCCATGGTAGATAGAGTAGACATAGACCTACCTAAGCACCAAAGATGACATCCAGAAAAAAAGTATAAAGTATGAAAAACAAGACGCACAAAATCGGTTACTCACGTTACATTTTCGTAACGTGAGTAACCGATTTTGTGCATGTCGTTTATCACACATAACACATTTTTCTGGATGTCGTCTTTAGTGCTTACGTAGGTCTAGGTCTACTCTATCTACCATGGGGATAACAGTTATTAAACCTTTTCAGTAAGGTAATTACAGCCCAAGGAAACTCAAAAGTACATCAAAAATGTAACGTGAGTAACCGTGGAATTGCCCATAACTATCTATAAGTGCCAGGCCTGGTTTCAAATCTACCTGTCCTGTGGTGATTGAAGTTCCTTCTAGCGAGTCCTGCAGGTTGGTCAGTGCTTTGTCGATATCATCCTGGCCCTCTGTTGGCGCGTCGGGGTCAGGCTGTGGCATCTGGGCCTGTAGATTCACTTGCATCTGTGGCAGGCAAAATTATGGCACGTTAATTTCCTTTAGTGAAGATTATTATTCATATCAGGCTTCCAAGTAGTAAAAATAAATCAGCGTATTGCATACTTTCCAAAAAGTACCGGAGTGACTATAAAATATTTCTTTATTATTGCACAGACATTGGGGCATTTCACTGAATCGCTGGTTCCCACTGGATCAAGAGGGTAGAAACACCCAGTTTTCAACCAATCAACAGAGTATAGCAGTCACACAGAAGCCTTGGCAAACACTGTTTGTCAACAAAAATGGCAGCTTCCAGCAGCCTGAGATTCACTTTGGTAAGTGAAGAAGAATTCAATGAAATTTTGAGAAACAAAGTCAGCCTGATATGAATAATACTAAAAATATAATATTGGATGGATTTTTTTTCAGGGATACAAGAATAGCTTTATCTCGCTGTAGCAATACAGCTCGTGCAATCACGGATCCTCTACACAAGGATAAACAACTTATCTGAGCTTGTGTACAAAGTGTACGGAATGGTTTGTCAAGAGGCGTGATAACGGCCTGTGCACGTATAGAACATACGATGCGCGTGCGCGAGACTCGGCACGCGCGCCCCACATGAAACCCAATCATATGAGAAATTCAACTGCTAGTCGCATGCCGACTCTAGTCTCGCGCACGCGCATTATATGTTCTATACGCGCACAGGCCGTTATCACGCCTCTAACCAGAGATTTTGGAAGTCGTTTATCCTTGTGTAGAGGGTCAGTGGTGCAATATATTCTTGCATCCCCCTCAAAGCCATCCAAATTATATAAATATTTGTAATTGGTAAAAGGGTAGCGTAATAGAATTATACGTAAAGGAGATGTAAAGTTCAATATTAAGTTTTGTCATTATTTTATTAACAAGCACTATGTGGACTCCATGTATGAATAGACTATGCTTCTTGACAACCTGTGAGAGTTCCATGTGCAGGGCACACTAAATGTGCCTAGAAGTATGCACCAACACTTTTCATCTACATGTACATGTGCCTTAACCTGTATACAATAGCACCTTCTCGTGAGAACCAGGCATGTGGCAGTAATGGCATTTAAGAGTCAGCATTATGGCCGGTTTGTATTTCATGCCAACGCTAACGCAAAGTGAATTTTTATGACATGAACAATTGCATGTCCACTGTAACGTTCGTCAATATCCAACCAGTTCCAACCGCAAATGTGACGCCACAAAATTCTTCAGAGTTTGAAATTTGTTCAACTCATACAAATTTTGCAGAGCAAATACTTGACGCCACATTGTGTTCCCAATCATGCTGTGGGATTGTGCACATTCAGATGGACATTGTTTGTGCGTACACACACCTTGTGCACATGAACAAGAATGCGCACCTGATGTGCCCCACACATACCGGTAGAGCTGTTAAGAGTGATCATAAAGCACCAACTTCTCATCGTGCACAAAGTCCATAGCCTACACTAAACAAACTAAACTGAACATTGGCAAATAACATTCTTTGTCCGCTTGGTACTGGACTGACTGGCAGAATCACTGACTGACTGTGACTTATGACCCGCTTTATTCCCAATTCTGCTTCTCATCTCTAGCCTGTTGCACTCTGCCCCTCTGCACCCCCCTGGCTACACTACTGTGTTTGTCAGGTCACATGTACACCGCATGTGCATTAGTCTGGCACCACTTGTTTCATGTACTCTCATGATACTGTGTCTAGGATGTGTCTAGGCACTAAGTCAAGTCTCCATGCAAATGGTGAAAGTGGATTTTTCAATTCCGTCACGTTACCATGGACCTTATTCACGAGAAAGCCATTTTGGTCAGGTTCCCTGAATGTATTTTATTAATTGTGAACTGTTGAATGGGATGGTGCCAGACTATTTATACAAATTTCTAGCCTCAGCTTAAAACATTAGGGTATGTTTAATCACAAATTCAAAATTATTCATCAGAGCAGACTGGTATAATGTGTAATTAACTTAATGTCATTGCTTTCATTTCTCTTCACAAGTTCCAAAAATGAAGATTTTACCCCACTTTAAATTCAATATGGCCGACTCGTGAATATGGCGTGCTCTGGGACCAGCTCAACTAGGCTTGCCCTAGTCTTGTTTCGAGTCATCATCACACCCACCTGTAACGCAGCAAACATGATCATCTCCTCCTCTGTACAATCAATCTCCTCGTTCAGCAGCCCCCACTTGGCCTGTTCGTAGATCTGGTTGATCCGGACACCGTCCTGTTTGGGATCCAGGTCGTAGAAGGCAAAATACTTGAAGCGTAGCATCAAGGTGTCGTTCTCTTGGATTCCTTGCTCCATGAGGGACTTGGACGAGTCTAGCCATCTGCAAAACATCCAAGACATGAATATATGAGAATTAAAAAGCTGCTACAAACTGCTTACTGACTAGATTGACAAATCAGAAAAAGTTAAATTGCCCGATATTTCAATATTGGCAGGACATTTCTGAAGGTTAACATCAGAAAGGTCCTGCTAGGTTCAAAATATCTAGCTCTCTTATTTTAAGGTTAAAAATAAAAAAATGCTATGAATTTTCTTGGGCAATCATATGATACAGATCAAATCTTCAAACCTATTTCCAGCTTTTAGACTGAGAAAGAAAAAACGGGTAACGGTAAGATAGACAGGACAAATTTTATATTCTTGTACATCAAGGCTTTTGAAGATGTACGTTTACATGTATGTCAAAAGAACAGACAAGCATTTAAAAGTAACCAGGGCACCATTTCACAAAGCTACAAAATAAGAAACATTGCTTAGTGAACTAAATGTGCTAAGCATTAATTGCTGAGAACCAGTCACAAGCAATGAACATGGCACTTTGGCTGGTAACCAAGCTTCATCTGAGACAAAGAATTTCTGTGTTTGAATTTCTGTGCTTTGTCGTTAAAACAAAGCGATTCAGAATACATGTAAATCTAGCAACATGGATAAATGTATATCGACTAATTTTCACAAAACATTGACAGAATTTTTCACCCTGGTACCATTTTGATTGAAAAAGCAAACATTGTGAAATGCTTTTCCTGCATTTTGTTCTCTCCGTCTCAAAATGCCATTCTCCGTTCGTTTGCTCCCTAATCAAATAGCTTCTCCATAACGCCCGGCAGCTCGTATCGTGGTATTCCCAAAGAGAGGCATTTCTACTCTCGTCGCAGAGCAAACAGCGAAACTGCCAACTTCAAATTTGCTAAATAGCTGCCAGTGTACACACTCTAATGCATTAAAAGCATCCATTTGTTGAAGATACCGGTACGTCCACCAACAAAAAATGACTAGGAATACATTGATAAGCGGTCAAGCTGTTGCCATAGTAACGCGGACAGGCGGTGCGAATATCAGAAGCCATTAAAGTATAAATTTGCATCTTGAGCCAACACTCCCGGGGTGCGTTCCACTCTGGCGAAAATTGCCAACATTTGCGATCTTTTAGTGCATAGCCAATGGGGAAACTGTTGGCAACGTTTGCGTTGTTTGCGAAAGTGGAAGTAACCCCTGGCGAAGAGGATGTTTATGACTTGTATTCCCCCCATGCTGATCAGGCACTCTAGTGTTGAAAGTGGATCCAGTCTATTCCGAGTTAACCTTTTCCCTGGTATCAGTCAAATCTTGTATGTAACTGATTAACACAAGCCCTGGGAACCAGTTCCATTATGGGATAATCCTATACAATAGCACTGCCCGGCACTCAAGAAGAAAGAGGACTATAGGCTGGCCCCTCAGGGACCAGCAAAAAGAACGGAGTTTATCAGTGATCTCTGATCCCACCCCCCCCCCCCTTCCCCTATCTACCAAACCAAGTTTTGAACTGCAATCGTTTCTGAATCGTACATGTAACTCCTCCAATGAGCACATGTACGGGTACCGGCATATACGGAGACTTTCCCATACATACATGTACATGTACATGTAAAAACAAGCTCGGACTCTGCCTACCTTAAAACCAGAGTGATTTGTGGCGTTTGCCCACATGATCTTTCACCGATAGAGAGTGAGTTATTACCGGAGCAATTGTGACCTATATTACCACTCACACCTTAGGGATAGGTTATTACTTGTGGTCGACTGTAAATATTAGTTATTCATATCCACTGAGAAAAAGAGACTGCTGGCAAGTGGGAACTACTGGGAACTGACCTGAATGTGTTCACGTTAACAGTTCAAAGAATCAGACTATTTGATGCAACTCAAGTTAGCTTTTTTGTTGTCATTTTAGAAAGTCAAATGAAACATGCAAACCTTATGTCTAGAGCAGTTTACCACAACTTTAAATGCAAATTACAATTTTGAGATTATTTGCGTGAGTTCCAATGTGCTACATTTTCAAATTATTATGCAAATACTGCTTAATATCTGGAAATACTTACGTAATGACATTGATATTAGGCCAAATAAAAAAAAAAGTTTCTCTTCCAAACTTTTTGAAAAGAGGAGGATGCAGGCACTTTTTGTTTTGGCAAATGACGGATCCAAGATGGCGGATGGTCTTTTTTCAAAACATGACATTTTCCTACATGTAAAAATTGCCATCACTTTTCTGAGACTAGCTTTTTACCCCCAAATGGCTACTCATTCATGTTGGAAACAACTGTTAAGACACAAGATATTTTCTGATGGTGAAAATATCAGAAACTACGGCAGATTTTGCCATTAAATAAAAGTGAAAATTACCACACCAAAATTTGAAATAAATTGATGGGGCAGGGAAAAATGGATACAGGCTGGAACGAGAAACTGGTATATTTTTTTTATTTGGCCTTAACACAAAACTTAATTGAGCATAGAACAATTGTGCACGACATTTCACCGCCTCAAACATCATTTGATATTTGGTTCTCAGCTAATTTTTGCCTGGCAACATTTGCGATCCTCTACATGATGAGCTGTGCGGTGGAACTAACAGGGCAGCATAATTCAGGTAGCTGCAATGTCATTTATCATCATTAATACACAGTATATATCAATCATTAACAAAGCGCAGTGTTACAAACAGCTTCTGCAAATCACTTTCCAAATTACAGCACTACTCCAAATATCAGTGACGGGTTGCTATATTATTGCTTCATACTGACCCTGCATTATCCCCTGGCAACCACAGTCTCGCTCAATGTGGTACCGGTAATACACAGGAATATGTTACCATATCAACAGAAACTGTCAAATTTGTCAACATCGTATTAACTGAGCTTCCGTGTGCCTTTTGGCTGGTTCTTAGTCCATGCTGTATGAATTTGAAGCAAATTTGCTGTCAAATGTGAAGGTGCCGGTACATGACGTGTACAATTAAAGTTTGTAGGCATGTTTGGGGAATATCTCCAATGTGAAGAAGTGTGGGAATTGCTCTCAATATTTCAGACAGTGTACTCTGTCTGTCCTCAGGAGCTGCATTCTTCTCTGTCTTAAACAATTCTAACCTCTGGATTTGTTTGGTTTATTTATTAATTTGTTCAGAATCATCCTTCTTCACAATCTGATAGCAATTTGCTTGAGTTGAAAGGTGTTCAGCTCTTGTGTCAAATGTCACAAAACTACATTTGCTTTTGTTCAAAGTTATACTTGGAGCAAAAGTTATACACTGGCCTTGAGTGCAAAAAAAAACAAGTATATTCAGGGCAAACACTACAAACAGGACAATGCCATGCAGTTGAACTTTTTGCTGACAATAATTCTCTTTCAGGTAAGTCTGTTTTCATTGTTAACCCTTAATCACCCAGCATTCTTCTGAGAACCTTCCCGAGTCACTCCAAAATCTTGTCACTGTTAAACCATGAGCACATTCTAAACAGTGAACATGCTTGTAAATGTACTCCGGTAGACTTCAGCGAGAAGATGAAATAACCTCTCTTAATCGAACTGTAAATCGATGCCTCATGTTAACCCGAGTGGAATTCAAACCCGGGACACCTCAGCGGAAGGAAGGAAAAACATTAGTTTCAGCCTCATCATTCTGCAATCCGGTCCGACCTGGGTTCAAAGCCATTTCAGGTCAGGATGTGGCTCAGCTTTCCCGTCCCTGACCGAACACCGTCGCTTAACATTTTTCCCTCCTTCATTTTTTTCTCTTCACACTTCTTAAATTCTTCTTCTTCAAATGTCATCTTGTCTCAGATGCTGCGGCAGATGGACTCGTGCTGTTTTCCATGCTGCTCTCAGTTCAAGGGTGGAATTCTTAAGGCTTAATTTTAAAGGTCACACTCTAAAGATGTGTAAACGGCAAAAATCCAGATTTTGAACGGTGACGGAAAGAGGTTTTTCATGTATGAGATACATATTTATGTACAGGTAAACAAACGAAAGGATATTTTATATTCTTAATTTCTGCTTAATAGTGTTTTGCTGGTCCCAGAGGGCAGGCAATTGTACAAATCTCTCTTAATGACTGTCACTTGTGACTTGGACTGGTCGTAGACTGGTAACGAGAGCTGGGCAGTGCTATCATATAAGATTACCCTGTATCATCAATGAATGGAATACATGTAAATCTGGCCCATTTTGTAGACCATCTTGCATGAAAAGACGTCCATTGAATAGCAATTCTGAATCAATTGGATAGAACTGTGTGGGCCCCGAGACCAGCTTACCAGGCTTGCCATGTCTTGTGTAAATTATATAACAGTAGCTAAAATACTGCAGGTTGATTGCAAACTACAGCGAGAAAGACATATGATTTTGTAAACATTCAAATCATACCTTCAAGGCATACCGGTGTCACATGAAAATCCGACTCCTATGAAAATCGGACCCCTTTTCCCTTTTATTGGTTAATCCCTCTCGTGTGACCGGTCATTTTCTTAATTATCATACTTACGCATGCGCAGTATTACCAATGAGTCCGATTTTCATAGAAACCTAAATTCACGCTACACCGGTACATGTGCAACACGTCATACATAAAAATTGTCCTGGTAGCTGCAACAGACTGTGGATGATGTATCTACACCGTACACTGAATCATCCACGAGTGGCCCAACCATTCAGGTTAAGGTATGGAAACACAGCCCGCAGACTATGAACAGTGATGTACCAATCAATTGTGCCCCCTCCTCCCCACCATGCTGCCCCTCCCCGACCCCCCTCATGCAATTATGAACCACATTAAAACCCCAGGGTGGGGATGTTGGTCCTCTTTTCAGTGCAAAATTGAAAAACCCTCCTATATTTTCTGCTCACAAAGCTATACCCTGGAGTAGAGATTTGATCATTCTAATGACAATTCCCACCCCTAGGGTATGTTAGCCCTGGGAGGGGGGAGGGGGGGGGGAATTCATGGTGCATAAAGATCACATCAAATAGTTTAAAGAAAATGTACACGGTGACAGATTT